CGTACTATTGGTCCCCTTAACCACCACTAACTACTCCTAAATCTTAACAACCTAATTACAGCTTAATTAACACCTTAACTACAGCTTAATTAACACCTTAACTACAGCTTAATTAACACCTTAGATGCGGGACATTTTAACAGGCATTTACAAGTTTTAACAAGAGCCATTAACTGTGCTTCGGGGCTTGTTAACACTCTGTTGGAGAAGTGTGTGTGCTTGAGGCACTGGATTGGTTCAACTGTTGTGGTTGGCACGAGGTTCTTGGCACGTCCTGGTTCACGGGTTATGTCATCTGTTGTTCTGGGTCATCTCTTGGATGACTTAGAGCAACAGGATGTTAGAGGGAGGGTTCCAGTCTCCTGGGGGCTCTGGGGGGCTCTGGGGGGCTCTGGGAGGCTCTGTTGGGCTCTGGGGGGCTCTGTGGGGCTCTGGGGGGGCTCTGTGGGCTCAGGGGGGCTCTGTGGGGCTCTGGGAGGCTCTGGGGGCTCTGGGGGGCTTCTGTGGAGCTCAGGGGGCTCTGTGGGGCTCTGTGGGACTCTGGGAGGCTCTGTGGGGCTCTGTGGGACTCTGGGTGGCTCTGGGAGGCTCTGTGGGGGTCTGTGGGGGCTCTGGGGGGCTCTGTGGGGCTCAGGGGGGTTCTGTGAGGCTTTGGGGGCTCTGTGGGGCTCTGGGGGGCTCTGTGGGGCTCTGTGGGGCTCTGTGGGGCTCTGGGAGGCTCTGTGGGGCTCTGGGGCTCTGGGGGGCTCTATGGAGCTCAGGGGGGTTCTGTGAGGCTCTAGGGCTCTGTGGGGCTCAGGGGGGTCTGTGGGGCTCTGGGGGGGGTCTGTGGGGCTCTGTGGGGCTCTGGGGGGCTCTGGGGGGCTCTGTGGGGCCTCTCTGGGGCTCTGGGGGGGTCTGTGGGGACTCTGTGGGGCTCTGTGGGGCCCTGGGGGGCTCTGTGAGGCTTTGGGGGCTCTGTGGGGCTCTGGGGGGGTTCTGTTGGGGCTCTGTGTGGCTCCGGGGGGCTCTGGGGCTCTGTGGGGCTCTGGGGAACTCTGGGGGCTCTGGGTGGGCTCTGGGGCTCTGTGAGGCTCTGAGGAACTCTGGGGGGCTCTGGGTGGGCTCTGGGTCTCTGTGGGGCTCTGGGGGGCTTCTGTGGGCTCTGGGAGGCTCTGTGGGGCTCTGGGAGGCTCTGGAGGCTCTGTGGGGCTCTGGGGGGCTCTGTAGGGGTCTGGGAGGCTCTGGGAGGCTTTGAGGGGCTCTGGGAGGCTCTGGGAGGCTCTGTGGGGCTTTGGAAGGCTCTGGGAGGCTCTGAGGGGCTCTGGGAGGCTCTGAGGGGCTCTGGGAGGCTCTGGGAGGCTCCGTGGGGCTCTGGGAGGCTCTGGGAGGCTCTGTGGGGCTCTGGGAGGCTCTGTGGGGCTCTGGAGGCTCTGGGAGGCTCTGAGGGCTCTGGGAGGCTCTGGGAGGCTCTGAGGGGCTCTGGGAGGCTCTGGGAGGCTCTGTGGGGCTCTGGGAGGCTCTGGGGGGCTCTGTGGGGCTCTGGGAGGCTCTGGGAGGCTCTGTGGGGCTCTGGGAGGCTCTGGGGGGGCCCTGTGGGGCTCTGGGGGACTCTGGGGGGCTTTGTGGGGCTTTGGGGGGCTCTGGAAGGCTCTGGGAGGCTCTGTGGGGTCTCTGTGGGGCTCTGTGGTGGATCTGGGGGGCTCTGGGAGGCTCTGGGGGTTCTGTTGGGGCTCTGGGGGCTCTGGGGGGGCTCTGGGAGACTTTGGGAGACTCTGTGGGGCTCTGTGGGGGTCTGTGGGGCTCTGTGGTGGTCTGTGGGGCTCGAACCGGGAACCCCAGGCGTGTGTCTGAGGGCCAAGCTCTCATAATCTATTTAGAGTGGAGGTTGCGTGCGTGAGTGTGGACGCGCGCGCGCGTACAGAGGATAGAGCCCCACAGAGCCCCCAAGACCCCCACAGAGCCCCACAGAGCCCCCCCAGAGCCAACAGAGCCCCCCGACCCTCCCCCCAGAGCCCCCCAGAGCCCCCACAGAGCCCTCCCAGAGCCCCCAGACCCCCACACAGCCCCCCAAGACCCCCACAGAGCGCCACAGAGCCCCCACAGAGCCCTCCCAGAGCCCCCAGACCCCCACACAGCCCCACACAGCCCCCAAGACCCCCCCAGAGCCCCCCGACCTTCCCCCAGAGCCCCACAGAGCGCCCACAGAGCCCTCCCAGAGCCCCCAGACCCCCACACAGCCCCCCCAAGACCCCCCCAGAGCCCCCCAGAGCCCCCCGATCCTCCCCCAGAGCCCCCCAGAACCCCCACAGAGCCCCACACAGCCCCCCAAGACCCCCCCCCCAGAGCCCCCAGAGCCCCTGACCTTCCTCCAGAGACCCACAGAGCCCCCAAGACCCCCCAGAGCCCCACAGAGCCCCACAGAGCCCCCAAGACCCCCCCCCAGAGCCCCACACAGCCCCCCAAGACCCCCCAGAGACCCACAGAGCCCCCCGACCTTCCCCCAGAGCCCCACAGAGCGCCCACAGAGCCCTCCCAGAGCCCCCAGACCCCCACACAGCCCCCCAAAGCCCCCCCAAGACCCCCCAGAGCCCCCCATAGCCCCCCGATCCCCGATCCTCCCCCAGAGCCCCCCAGAACCCCCACAGACCCCCCCAGAGCCCCACAGAGCGCAGGATACACAGTACAACTACTAACCAACTAGGCGAGGGAACGTGGCTGCCTCGTCACTATATCCTGAGCCAGAGCTGGAGACATGCGGCCGTCCTCCCTACCCCTCCCCACTCCCTGGTCCCTCTGTCACTCATCATTACTGAGTGACAACCGTCAGGGGGGACACGACGGGCACTCACACACACACACTCAAACACACGCAACACACACACACACTCAAACACACGCAAACACACACACACACTCAACCGCAGGTCCTCGAAGCCAGTACTTCAAAAAATTTCCTCAAGATCCTTAACAACAGTATGAGGACACAGTATGAGGGCATACAGAGTATGAGGACACAGTATGAGGACATACAGAGTATGAGGACACAGTATGAGGGCATACAGAGTATGAGGACACAGTATGAGGGCATACAGAGTATGAGGACACAGTATGAGGGCATACAGAGTATGAGCACAGTATGAGGACATACAGAGTATGAGGACACAGTATGAGGACATACAGAGTATGAGGACATAGTATGAGGACATACAGAGTATGAGGACACAGTATGAGGACACAGTATGAGGGCATACAGAGTATGAGGACACAGTATGAGGACATACAGAGTATGAGGACACAGTATGAGGACATACAGAGTATGAGGACATAGTATGAGGACATACAGAGTATGAGGACATTGTATGAGGACCCATTTTAATGTTTCTTTTCATCCACAGGGAGTTACGGTGGCTATATAAGCGAATTCACAAGGATAGAGTTGATCTGGCACGGCCCATGCTTATCCAGCTTAAACGGGTAGGTCACCCACACACACACACGCACACACACACACACACACACACCACACACACACACCACACACACACACACACACACACACACACACACACACACACACACACACACTACGGGAATTAAACCTCACTTCGCTGGAAGACAGAAGAGTTAGGGGGACATGATCACCACATTCAAGATTCTGAAGGGGATTGATAGGGTAGATAAAGACAGTCTATTTAACACAAGGGGGAACACGCACAAGGGGACACAGGTGGAAACTGAGTGCCCAAATGAGCCACAGAGATATTAGAAAGAACTTTTTAGTGTCAGAGTGGTTGACAAATGGAATGCATTAGGAAGTGATGTGGTGGAGGCTGACTCCATACACAGTTTCAAGTGTAGATATGACAGAGCCCGATAGGCTCATGAATCTGTACACCTGTTGATTGACGGTTGAGAGGCGGGACCAAAGAGCCAGAGCTCAACCCCCGCAAACACAACTAGGTGACTACACACACACACACACATTCCCAGTCCAAAAGGAAAACAGTGAAATGAAGATGAGAAACCCATGGTTTAATCAGAGATGTAGGCTAGCTAAGCAGCAAAGTAAAAGGGCATGGAGAAACTATAGGAATAACAGGACACTGGAGAGCAGAGAAAGATACCAGAATGCCAGGAATGAATATGTCAGGATGAGAAGAGAGGCAGAAAGACAATACGAAAATGACATCGCAAGCAAGGCAAAGACTCAGCCTAAATTGTTGCATAGCCACATTAGGAGAAAAACAACAGTAAAGGAACAGGTTATGAGATTAAGGATAGGGGCAGAAGGATTCACTACAAACGACAAGGAAGTGTGTGAGGAACTGAATAAGAAATTCCAGGAGGTCTTCACCTTAGAACAAGGAGAAATTCCAGAGGTAAGTGAGGGAATAGCTAACCAGGAACCACTGGAAGAGTTTGAGATTACCAGCGGGGAAGTAAGGAAGTGTTTACTAGAATTGGATGTGACGAAGGCTATAGGCCCAGATGGAATCTCCCCTTGGATACTAAAGGAAGGAGCAGAAGAACTGTGCCTCCCGCTCTCCCATGGTGTATAACAAATCACTGGCAACAGGGGGAAACTGCCAGAAATTTGGAAAGCAGCTAACGTAGTCCCGATATACAAGAAAGGGGATAGACAGGAGGCACTGAATTACAGACCAGTGTCCCTAACCTGCATACCATGCAAGATGATGGAGAAGATTGTGCGAAGAAAACTAGTGGAACATCTGGAGCGAAAGAACTTTGTAACACAGCATCAACATGGATTCAGGGATGGCAGGTCCTGCCTCACAGGGTTACTTGAATTCTACGACCAGGCAACAAAAATAAGGCAAGAAAGAGAAGGGTGGGCAGACTGCATATTTTTGGATTGTCAGAAAGCCTTTGACACAGTGCCACACGAGAGGCTATTGAAAAAACTGGAGATGCAGGCTGGAGTGAAAGGGAAGGTACTCCGTTGGATACAGGAGTACCTAAGTAACAGGAGACAACGAGTCAGTGTGAGGGGTGAGGTCTCAGATTGGCGAGACGTTACGAGTGGAGTACCGCAGGGGTCAGTCCTTGGACCTATACTGTTTCTGATATATGTAAATGATCTTCCAGAGGGTATAGAATCGTTTCTCTCAATGTTTGCCGATGATGCAAAAATTATGAGGAGGATTGAAACTGAGGACGATAGTAGGAGGCTACAAGATGACCTAGACAGACTGAGTGAATGGTCCAACAAATGGCTGTTGAAGTTCAACCCGAGTAAATGCAAAGTAATGAAACTAGGTGGTGGAAATAGGAGGCCAAACACAGGATACAGAATAGGAGATGAAGTACTTAATGAAACAGACAGAGAGAAAGATCTAGGAGTTGATATCACACCAAATCTGTCTCCTGAAGCCCACATAAAAAGAATAACGTCTGCGGCATATGCGAGGCTGGCTAACATCAGAACAGCGTTCAGGAACCTGTGTAAGGAATCATTCAGAATCTTGTACACCACATATGTACGACCAATCCTGGAGTATGCGGCCCCAGCATGGAGCCCGTACCTTGTCAAGCACAAGACGAAGCTGGAAAAAGTCCAAAGGTATGCCACTAGACTAGTCCCAGAACTAAGAGGCATGAGTTACGAGGAAAGGCTGCGGGAAATGCACCTTACGACACTGGAAGACAGAAGAGTAAGGGGAGACATGATCACAACCTACAAAATCCTCAGAGGAATCGACAGGGTAAACAAGGATAAACTATTCAACACTGGTGGGACGCGAACAAGGGGACACAGGTGGAAACTGAGTACTCACATGAGCCACAGAGACGTTAGAAGGAACTTTTTCAGTGTCAGAGTAGTTAACGGATGGAATGCATTAGGCAGTGATGTGGTGGAGGCTGACTCCATACACAGTTTTAAATGTAGATATGATAGAGCCGAGTAGGCTCAGGAATCTGTACACCAGTTGATTGACAGTTGAGAGGCGGGACCAAAGAGCCAAAGCTCAACCCCCGCAAGCACAAATAGGTGAGTACAAATAGGTGAGTACACAAGTGGAGTACCACAAGGATCGGTGCTGGGACCAATTCTATTTCTTGTATATGTTAACGACATGTTTACAGGCGCAGAGTCCTACATGTCGATGTTTGCGGATGATGCAAAGTTGATGAGAAGAGTTGTGACAGATGAGGATTGCAGGATCCTCCAAGAGGACCTGAACAGATTGCAGAGATGGTCAGAGAAATGGCTACTAGAATTCAACACGAGCAATGTAAAGTTATGGAAATGGGACTAGGAGATAGGAGACCAAAGGGACAGTACACAAAGAAGGGGAACAGCCTACCTGTAACGACGCGTGAAAGAGACCTGGGGGTGGACGTAACACCTAATCTATCTCCTGAGGCACATATTAATAGGATAACGACAGCAGCGTACTCTACACTGGCAAAAGTTAGAACATCATTCAGAAACCTAAGTAAGGAGGCATTTAGGGCGCTTTACACTGCCTACGTGAGGCCAGTCTTAGAGTATGCCGCCTCATCATGGAGTCCCCATCTGAAGAAGCATATAATGAAACTGGAAAAGGTTTAGAGGTTTGCAACGAGACTCGTCCCAGAGCTACGAGGGATGGGGTATGAAGAGCGCCTGAGGGAACTGTGCCTTACGACACTAGAAAGAAGAAGGGAGAGGGGGGACATGATAGGAACGTATAAGATACTCAGAGGGATTGACAGAGTGGACATAGACGAAATGTTCGCACGGAATAGTAACAGAACGAGAGGACATGGATGGAAGCTTGAAACTCAGATGAGTCACAGAGATGTTAGGAAGTTTTCTTTTAGCGTGAGAGTAGTGGGAAAATGGAATGCACTTCAGGAACAGGTTGTGGAAGCAAATACTATTACTAACTTTACAACCAGGTATGATAGGGAAATGGGACAGGAGTCACTGCTGTAAACAACCGATGGCTGGAAAGGCGGGATCCAAGAGTCAATGCTCGATCCTGCAGACACAACTAGGTGAGTACAACTAGGTGAGTACACACACACACACACACACACACACACACACACACACACACCCACACACACACACACACACACACACACACACACACACACACACACACACACACTACCACACACACACACGCACACACACACACTACACACAGGCACACACACACACACACACACACACACACACACACACACCACACACACACACACACACACACACACACACACACACACACACACACACACACATACACACACACACATACACACACACACACACACACACACACACACACACACACACACACACACACACACACACACACACACACACACACACACACACACACACACACACACACACACACACACACACACACACACACACACACAGGCAGGCTGCAGAGATGGTCAGGGAAATGGCTACTGGAGTTTAACACCAGTAAATGTAAAGTTATGGAAATGGGATCAGGTGACAGGAGACCAAAGGGACAGTACACAATGAAGGGGAACAGCCTACCTGTAACGATTCGAGAAAGAGACCTGGGAGTGGATGTGACACCTAATCTAACTCCTGAGGCACATATAAATAGGATAACGACAGCAGCGTACTCTACACTGGCGAAAATTAGAACTTCATTCAGAAACCTAAATGAGGAAGCTTTTAGGGCGCTTTACACTGCCTACGTGAGACCCGTCTTAGAGTATGCCGCGCCATCATGGAGCCCCCACCTGAAGAAAACACATAAAGAAACTGGAGAAGGTTCAGAGGTTTGCGACGAGGCTTGTCCCAGAGCTACGAGGGATGGGATATGAAGAGCGGCTGAAGGAACTGAACCTTACGACACTAGAGAAAAGAAGGGAGAGAGGAGATATGATAGGGACATATAAAATACTCAGGGGAATTGACAAAGTGGAAATAGATGAAATGTTCACACGTAATAATAACAGAACGAGGGGACATGGGTGGAAACTGGAAACTCAGATGAGTCACAGAGATGTTAGGAAGTTTTCTTTTAGCGTGAGAGTAGTAGAAAAATGGAATGCACTTGGGGAACAGGTTGTGGAAGCAAATACTATTCATACTTTTAAAACCAGGTATGATAGGGAAATGGGACAGGAGTCATTGCTGTAAACAACCGATAGCTAGAAAGGCGGGATCCAAGAGTCAATGCTCGATCCTGCAAGCACATATAGGTGAGTACATATAGGTGAGTACACACACACACACTACACACACACACACACACACACACACACACTACACACAGGCACACACACACACACACACACACACACACTACACACAGGCACACACACACCACACACACACACACACACACACACACCACACACACACACACACACCACACACACACACACACTCACACACACACACACACACACACACACACACACACACACACACACACAACACACACACACACACACACACACACACACACACACAC